TTTTTTTTTCGAGTAATCGTATATCATGAAGCGAAAGATATCTTTTAAGGAAGAGATAATAAAAATGAATAAACTTTGTTCTTTCCTTTTAGATTATTATTAGGCTGCGGATTTTTATGCATATTTTTCATATTTTATATAAGAATATTTGACTGTAGATTTAAATTTGACTGTTTAAAAATTTAAGGGATGATTCTTCAAATCAAAATAAAACGTTTTTGACGTTTTTTTTCAATTAAAAAATGACTTCTCTAAGTCCGAATAATTATTATAGTTTGCCTTAAAACTTAATTAACTATATTAAAATTAAAAAAACTTTAAACTACTATAATTTCAAGAATAACGATTTTCAAACAGCGAATGAACGATCATATGAAGCATGGATCCTTATTTTTTATTCTCTTTATTCTAAATTCTTTTTCGTTTATTTCAATACGATTTCCGATTTTCGAGATATCATCATATAAAGAAAGAAATAATTTTTAATCGTTTGCTACCTCTATCTCTTCGTTCATTGAATTATGTCAATCTTTAGACAAGTGAGAAACGCGATTCTTGGAAAAATACAATTCTTAAAAGATATAATACGCATTTTCAAAAAAAAAATGTAAGTCACGAGTCCTTTTATAATCTTTGCATTGCTTTAAATAATATGAAAATTTGAATCTTTATATCTCAACCTTCAATTGAGATATCTGAATGAATCAAAAAGAATCTTTAGTAATATAATTTCTTTTATCTTCTGAAAGTGTTTTAATAAAATATATATGATATATTTTTTTATATATTGGTTGAATATTTGAACATTTCTAAATCGCATAAAAATTCGCATTGTAGTGATCATTCAATAAAATATCGGTATCTTTTTATGCTATATTAAATATATCATGTTTTATTTTATTTTCATATAATTTGTATTATTGGAAATTATAAGAAAATAACATTGTTCATTGTTATTTGTAATTTTGAATAATACAAATTATTCAAAATTATATTTGTATTATATATAATATATTATACATATTATACATATTATATATAATAATAGATTAAAATGTTAATATATATATAATAGATTAAGATGTTAATATGATATAAAAAAAAAAAAAATACAGATATTTCATTAAATAATTATCTAAAGGAAGAAACTTAAAGTTAATTTCTTTAAAATGTATTCCCTTCAATAAAAGTAGTCAGTGTGTAATAGATAATGATGAATGTACTTTTTTTAGTGTTTTATGTTTGATAAGAGGGTAAATTATGTAACATACCGAGGAGAGACACGATTAAGCAAGTGGCTGGCCTCATCCATGCAGGAGTAATTATGCTGATGAGATTGGGCCGAGGGAGTGGGTGAGGACATGGCTGCTGCCTGGCTCACCCACCAACCCACTAGACTCTCGGACCTAATTATTGGCGTGTTAGTTACATACATTTATTTATGTGTATTTTTTGTATGTCATGTAAATTACAAGATATTAACACATGTGCATAAGAATAACTGTTGAAGTGTACAGAAAGAATTAATGTATTAAGTTTCAAAAAATATTAATATAAATTTGTTTTCACTAATAAAAGAAGCCATTAAACTATGGTAATGTATTTCATTATTAACTATCAGCACAAATACAATCGTTTTAACATAACTTAATTTTCTAATCTTTAAAATAATTATGGAATAAATAGAAAATATATATAAGGAAACATTTAAACTTGAAAAACTCTGTTCATTAAAATACATATAAATTAAAGTGAAATCAAAGGGGAAGGAACAAATCAACTAATCGCATTCGAAGAACGTTTAAAAAACTTTATGAAGAATTGGTATTTATAAATGAAATTAAAAAAAAAAAAAGAATTATTAATAAAGAGCGTAACGAATAAACATGCAAATTAGTAACAATAATGAAAAAAAGAGGTATAGACAAACATATACGATGGAGGCATGTGTGGATATCTCTCCAGCCATTGCTGTCTCCTGTAACGTACATGCATATTTTACATTCACATCCATAGTTATGACGAATATAGCTAGTTAAACAAATTCATTATATCAGTTGCCACCATTTATTTTAAATTTAAGATTAAAGAGAAAGAAGAAAAAAGAAACACTAAGAGACGACATATATCTATGTAATACTGTATATATATATATATATTATATTCAGATTAATTGACAAAGAGAAGAAAATTGTAACACCAACAACATACGATTAGTGTGATACTTTGTGTTGAATATGTTTTTTTGTATACATATAAAACTTTACACATATAAGACAGAGAAGATAGTCTGTACTTTCCAACGTGAGGACATGCCCCAAACTTTTCAGATATTAATCCAAAAGCAAAAAAAAGCAAAGCAAAATAGTTTATAGAGACATTTAATATAATTAGCTGATAGAAGAAAGAAGTACAGTACCTAGCTCTTTCACTGAGCAACGATATGTGACAATTCCATCCGCTTTCAAGGCCCATCTTTTCCGAGAATACGCGTGATCTTAATTCGTTTTCTTTGCTGAAGTGAACAAATCGGATACAAGCTCTGTCGAGTTGTTCAATTAATTGTACCTGTTAAACATTTTATAGAAATTTATATATAAAATATTTTTATTGATTTATTTCATTTACTACAAATTTATTTTGAATTGATAAAAATGTTTTACCATATCTGTTTGTGCTTGATACTGCATAGTGACCATACCAATAAAAACTTGATTACATTGAATGTCAAAACAGCTATCAACATCATTTACAATATCGTCTTTGTTCTCATTGCACAATAAAGAATCTGTGAAAATTTGTATAAAAATATAATTTGTTAATAAAATTTTTAACAGCTTCGAATAATAATAAATGATAATAATAAATCAATGAAAAAAATAGTAATTACCAGTCGAGTGAAATTGTCCAAGTATGCCTTTCACTCTAGGATCAAGAACATTTCTAAAATCCCAAGGTAGAGGAGTAGGACTTCTATGAGGTGCATATAAATGTTTGCTATCTGCAGGAAGTTCTAGATATATTTTAGACATTTTATCACAAATACCACGTGTTAATGGCCTATACGCAAATGCAGTACAATATGATGTTAAGCTCGTTCTTTGATAAAAATCTTGTACTTTTTTCCTGAAATATATATATATAAAACATAAAAATATAAATGAAATTTCTCAAAGTTTAATATTTTCATACCTATCTGATGCTGATAATGGACAGAGATCATGACCGTCCCAAAATTCGATGCAAGAATCCAATATTATATCCGCTGTACCCTGTGTAAGTAATTGCAAACCTCCACCACTGCGTTCTCTAACTACCACAGCTACCATGTGTGGAAATGGAAATTTTAACTTCGTCGCGATACTCAAAGATCGTGCAAATTTGATATCTCGCCGAACCATTTCTGGTTGCTGAAACAAAAACATTTATAATTTTTCTATTTATTGAATTACAAAGAAAAAAGTTAAAAGTGATGCTTACAACATGCCTAAACGTGGACAACTGTTGCTCCAATTGAAATATATTTTGTGCCTGATCTTGGAAACCTATCTGCTTGGCTAACTCGCATAAACACCTATAAAAATCATACATATAAAATAAAATGAACTCATTATACATATTAAGAAAGATGAGTAGAAAAGAATAGAATAAAACAGAAATATGAGATTGTCCCATGATTAGCATTCTCATGAATATATGTATGTTTGGAGATAACATTCACCCATATATATAGGATAACTATAAGTACGAGGAGGATACGTATAAATAACTATGGTTGGACTGACCACATATGTCCAAGGCTCCCTGATTCGTCGACTAAATACACCTGTCTTGAACTTTGCATTGTATCTTTTGCCTGATACCCACTCTTATCTTCTATACTGTGATCCTGGTAGCTGACAAATGTGTATGATCAACGTTACTGGTAAATTGGACGTGTTACCATTGAATACTGTCTTAGGATAATGATTAACTGCCATATGATAAACTGGATGTAATTAGCATTGATATATTAGGAGAATTAGTTTTGCAGAGATAATGCAGACAAACGAGGGGAAGAAATGCATTTGCGAAAAAAAAAAACACATAAACGATAAATACATTCCTAGAGACATGTATACCTACCGTCTGTTCGTTACTGGTACTAGATTTTCGTTAAAAAGAGCTTCACACGTGACATGGCAACAAAACTGCATGTAATGCTCTTGCGTATCCATATTACATGTGTTGAGAAGAATCGCTAAACCTAGAGGTTTTAATGAGTTCAAATGTTGTCTCCAAGAATGGTCATCGAATTGTAGACGAAATGGTAAAGCATGGTCATGAGTAAGATCCAAAACTTCAGCTGTTGAATGGGACATATCTGAAAATTATTTTTGTGAATTTACGATTTTGTAATTATTTCATTAAAAACGATTATTTTGTAATTACTTCATATTTTTGTGAATTACTTTATATTTTTTTAATTTTCTTTCTCTTACCATGAGTCACATAGGATGTCTTATTCGAATCTTGTTTGGAATCGTCAGTTTGTGTCTGATACTGAGGTTCTGAGTTTCTATCTAAACTACCAGTACTACAAGATAATTTTAATTATAGATATTTAAATTGAATATTGATAAAGAATCGTCGATTTTTATAAATATTTACCTTGAAGATGGGGATAGAGTATTAGCATTTCGTAAAAAGAATACTTTCTCGGCAGTTGGATTAGGCCACGAAAGAATCCCTTTTTTATCCACGCAACACAGTGCCTAGAAATTGGCTTGCTTTCACTCATTTTCTCTAATATTATTTAAAGATAAAATACGTCGTCGTTTAAAATACCGTGACTGATCCTAAAACATGTAGAATACTAGCGGATCTTGACATCATATGCTCTTTACCAAACAATATATCAAAAAAGTATTCTTTTAATTCCAACCAATTGTACACTACTTCTGGATGGCTAGGTCCAGAAATATCCGCATCTTCGAAAGGATCCACAAACTAAAATGAATGAATTTTAGGATATATCATACAATAATATTTATCCGATACTCAAAGAAAATTCTTTTATCTTAATGATGTATTAACCTGAAGTTTCTTCGAAGATTGATAAAGCTTAAATAGAGCTTTGAAACGAGCCATTCCGAAACAATTTAAAAAAATCCAACAAGTCGGGAATACTAACGGAAGTAAAGGGATACTAATAGCGATCGGTTGTAGCAGGAACATTTCGTTCCAATAACCGACACCGAAATATTCTGACACATACATATATCGAAATAAATTAGCAACTAGAACGATAATTAAAAGAATTGGATAAGCCAATTGTTCAATGCAACATATCATTAAAAGATGCCGTTTGCGATTGTGATACGTGACTGGCCTGTCTAAAGCTTGATCGAGAGCCATTCTGAGATTCATTAAATATGGTGTTTCTTGAAGTTTATAAATTTTATTCTTTAAAGGCGTTCGTGCCTGTGGCGTTGAAAATATTTCATTAGCACTGTGAACCTGAGGACTATATACTTCTCTTGCATGTAATACTGGTGCATCAGCATCCTAAAATTATTTTTCATATTAGAATTTTATTTCATGTGATCAAACATGTGTATTAAATTTAAAAAATTGTAATTTACATCATAAGGGACACAATATCCAGGTGCCTGTTGTCCAGGTTTTATGACAATTATATCACTAGCAACTAACAATGCCCAGGGTAAATTAATTATGCGACCATCGCGATAAGTCCACTGTAAAGTTAAACAAGGAGACAGTGGACTGCATAAATGTGGATAATTCTCTGGATTCCATTGGCAAGTATTTTTTGCCACTGAAATCAGAAAAATACAATTATTTAAAAAAGAAATTTATTTAATGTGTAATAAAATTTGGATGTTTAATTATTTTGAAATACCTTCTAATTGGTCGAGGAGACCTCGTACTCTATAAGGAATTTCTTCATGTCGTAATTTATTATCAGATACGACTAAAATAAAATTTAACATCACTAGACAACAAACAGTCAGTCCTTCATAAGGCAGTGTAGGATACCTATGACATCAAATTTTATTTATTACATATAATAATTCATATTTTAATTTTTATAATTTTTGTAAACCATTTTTAAGAATTTTATGGATAAAAGTTTATAGCCATAATTTAATACAAATATAATAATATATTATTCTATTATATATTATATATTATTCTAATATATATTACAAGCATTAATTATTACAAAAAAAATTTTATGTAATATTATATTATTTGATACCTGAAAAGAGATTGATTTAATTCATACCATGTATCGTTGATTGTGAAGAATGCAATAACAAGTATAATGGCATTGATCAAAAGTGCAATTGCTGAAGTCCAACAAAGAGTTGTATATTGACTACGATGATGTAATGTATCCTTTAGCCAAGCTTTATATTTTCTGCACATAATATATACAATATTTACAATATAAAATATGGAATTTATTTATAAATATAATATAAGTAATATAAATAACAAATAAGTAATGAAATTACTTATTTCTTTTGTACTCTTCTTCATATTCTTGTAAAACTCTTTTAACATCACGTTGTAATATTTCAAGAGCAATTCTTGTACTTAGTCCTAATGGCTTTGCAGATTTAGTATTAATATTTTCAGTTGGTTTGGAAGGAGTATCCTTTCCTTGATCGCCATCCATTTTCTATGTAATAAAATCATTAAAATTTTATATATCTTATAATGTGGAATGCATCAAAATTCACATATAGATTCCATAAATTATACTCACATATAAAATTAAAAATATATATACAAAAATTCTATTATGATAGATTTTTTATATATATA